ATATCCCATCTTATCCTTTCAGTTCTGTACGGTAACTCTTGCACGTCCTCGCTTTTACACTTCGGTCGCATTTTCCCGTTCCCATTGTTGCTTAGTTAGGTTAGGGGTATTCGGGTTTTGGGTTTACAGCTTGCTATCATTTCCTACTGTTGGCACACAAAAATATATGAGACAGTATGCGCATACTATCATGGATCATCCATAAACCAAACTCTCAATTCCTAAACACAACTTGTGTAGTAAAGGCAATCAATCAATCTACTTATGACATACATTATATGTGTCTAGTTCAATCAATACATTGCTCCCGCTAGTAGTAAGTATCTAGGACTATCTATCTATCTATCTACTTGCTTTATATCACAAACTACTTGAATAAACGAAGAATATGAAGTACTTACTACTACGTACTTCACTGCTAGTTAGTAGACTTTGGAATATCATATCAACCAACCAACATCTTGACCGTAGTCATCTTCCATTTGATCGCTTGCCCTATTCATTACTTACTATATACCATTATAGTACGTATTTACCTAGTATTGATACCAGTTGCAATTTAATTTCCTCTTTTCCCTCTTGATTATTTCATCCAAGTGATATAGTTATGTAGTTGTGATCATCATCTATCTACCCATTACATAATACCCTCTTCGTAGCCAAGGCGGATGATTCTCGGGATTCTCGACACCAATAACGGGCCGGGCCGTTTCGTTTCCCTTTTGCTGTGTATGTATGTCTGTGTGCACATCATTTACGTACGTAGTTGCCGGAGGTAAGATGGATCGAGATCCAGAGTAGGTAATGCTTATTGCTGGATACTTGGTTATACTACTTGATAGTTTCTTTGAAATAATATTCATGAAAAATGGTAGATTGATTAGGGGTGTTAGTAAAGTTTGTGCTGCTAATTAATTGCGGCGTTCTAGAACGAGAGAGTTGTTCGAGTCCTGAATAGTAGATCCCATATTGTAGTAATCGCTAGTATAATCGCTCTGGAGTCACTGTATAGCAGCCTGTATATGATCAAAAAATAGAATAGAATACAACTTGTGAAGTAAATATGGAATGAATCACACAAAACAGAGAGCCACCACGTCTATCGTTTTGGGTTAAGAGTAACACATGAAAGGAAATAGTAGTAGTAGGAGTAGTAATAGCAGTAGCCTGTGGGTAATAGATAGTAAGAAGTCGACATGTGTGCCAGTACATTCACGAATGGTATCAGGATGTATAATATAAGGGAGTATATCTGGAAAATGTAAAGAAGATAGAAAAACGCTGGATCGCTATGTAATGATACGATGATCGACATCGTCGACTGTCAAAGTCGACGGACGGAAAGAAGTCGTGCCGTGGCGACGTGGAAGCATAATGGGTAGAAATCGGATAGGATGAACATGTACAAGGCATGCAGGGTTCATCATGCGAATGGGTACTGTATGTATAGTAAGGAGTGGTTAGAGGCTGATTGATTATATTTGCGGCATTCTGGACTGCCGGGACACGCTTCGACTTTGCATGCCATAGCCGGCGGGAACTGGAGCGGAACTCTTGCGCTGTTCCCGGATAGTCTGGAGCGGGGGAGGCGAGATGCACTGTCGCAGGTCGGCGGGTGCATCACCCCAGTTGGTCGACTGTGGGTCGACTGGAGATGGGATTTTAGGTAGTGGACAGTTGGGCGGTGGTGCAGCTGGCGGCCCGATCAGCCCTGGCATGCTCTTCCGGCGACCCATGGCTACTGGCGGCAGACGGGAATTTGGATCTGGTTGGTACATAACAGACCCTCTGGTCGGTTGCTGTGAACCCACGTGCAACATGTTTGGCCCTCCGCCGACTGCAGTCGTGGGCCGCGGCACTGGGGCCGCCATGTTGGGTTGTATGCTCCGAGGCATGCGAGAGAGACGGTTGCCTCTGGGGTCCGCTATACGTTGATTTTCCGCTAGCGAGTCTTGGGAAGTGGAAACGCGCAGCGGTGGTCTTTTAGGCTGACCTGCATGGAGTGGCCACGGCTTCTTTGGTTGCGGCCCCGGCTCTTGCGGTTGTTGTTGTTGTTGTTGCTGCTCCTCGCTGGGCTCCTCCGGCAGGAAGCCGTTCGGAACCTTGCCTGGAGATTGGGGTGGAGAAGGAAACGCGGAAAGCGCAGTAACTGTACTTTTGCTGCTTGTGTCCTCCACCGCCGTAGGAAGCTGAGAGACCTGGGGGACTTGGAGTGGGCCAAATCGGGCAGTGAATCTCTTGCTAAAAGACGGCACACTGAAGTTTGGTGCGGGCGGGGAGGTGCTGCGGAGCACAGGATCCGGCTGTGTCGATTGTGCCCGTGGGATCTCTGCAGCCATCTCAGCAGGGGTCTTGATTGTTGATGGAGACGATATGTTCAACGATCGACGTTTCGTTGAGCTTTTGACGCTTGGACTTGCTGTGCCATCCAAAGACGCTGCGACCATACCACCGTTGGGTGGCGAATTGGGGACACTGGCGCTAGGAATGGATGAGTAGAATCGCCCCGTACCGCTAACAGGAGATGTTATTTCGGTATGTGTGGTGGATATAGAGCCCGAGCGGGATTCTGATGCGGCGGGCATGACTATCGACCGGCGATTGAGAGAGACGTATGAGCTCCGACGGGATTGGTCGCTAACGCTGACACCGGTGTCCTTGTCTTCCTCCGATACAAACTGCTGCGGTTTCAGTAGCATAGAAAACCGGTTTGGATCTTTGGTCACCATTTGGCGGATACTGGGCTTAGTCTGAAGCTGGGGCTCTTCCCCATCGTCGGCTGTCTTTTCTGAAACATACTTCTTGCCTCCACGTGCTTCGATCTGAGCCCGGACGGCCAGGAGCCAAGAGCTCATATCCTCGGGGTGGTCGAACACTAGAAGGAAGCAACGCTCAAGCCGCCGAGATGGAGACCTATGGAACCCAAAGCGAAATCGGGAGGGCTTAGTGGAATCCGTGCCGTCCTCGTCAGTGTGTGATACCTGCAGCACCCAATGCTTCCCAGGAATCGCATCGCTAGCAAAGGCTACAGTTCGAGGACCGAGCTGTAGCATTTTCTCCGGCAGCCTGTCGTATTTACCGGAGCCGGAATACTGTAGGATATAGCCAGCGGTGGCCAGCACATAGACTTTCTGAGTCCAGTCTGCTTTGTTCATTGTTTCGGAAAGAGTGCGCATGTGCCGTTTCCTCTCCTTGTCTTCCTTTTTCTTCCGAGCCGCGCCATCCTCCGCCGACTCTCCGTTAGCAGGCTCGTCTTCACGAGCACCAGCTTTCGCCTTTGATGTGGCATGCATGCGCATGATGGAATCCACCGACATGGCGGGGACAGGAAGAGTGTCATGCTTGAGTGCCTGTGGATACGCCTGAAAGAGTGGTGGTGGTTTCCATCCTATCTCACCTGCAGCAGGCTTCTCGTCACCTGTTTTGGCACGGGACTTGGAGGGAAGCCTGGACCGTTGAGATGCTGTCGTTATCGGCGAGGTGGGGAGTGTAGCTGTCGAAACGGTAGTCTTCGGCGTGGCAACAGCTGTGGGTGATTGGATCACCGGAGCTGTTTCGGTTGCAGGCTGTGTGCTTTGCTGCTGCAATTCATCGATGCCCGTGAGCTTAGCATCGCTGGGTTGTTTCCGCGAAGACTTGTCGCGTCCGAAGATGTTCCGCAGACTGGACTTCGATGTTTGGCGCTTAACCGGTGTGGCCTGCAATGGGACTCTTTCACCTGCCTCCGTATCACCCTGGAAGTCCGTGGGCCGTGGACGCTGTGGTCTGCCGGGTGGAACCTCCACTGGACGTGCGGTTGGGCGACTGAAGTTGGTCTGTAGAGGGGCCAATCGCTGGCCTCTGCGCTCGCTGACCGATTGTTGAGGGGAATGAATATCCAACGTCATCCTTAGTCAGACCTCGACTGTATGCCCTGAAGGCGGACGTCGAAATGCCTGCTGTCTAGAAAAGGTTGGGATGGGTATATAGTAAATAAAATCACGCGCATCAATTGATCGCAGCAAGTTTGGGTATAATTAACGAATGAATAGATAAATGAAGGGTGCTAACAATGAGTGCCTCATTGATCGATAAGGAAAGATTGTGGTGCTTGAAAATAAGAAAAGTGTCATCGCAAGCTGACGATGATAACTCAAGCATAGATCATATCCGACCGTGTAGGGCACAGCAAAAAGTTGTTTGTAAAGGAAAGATCTCGGATAGGTGTGGTATATTGCACCCGACGTGAATCCGTGGTGGACGGCGAGTACGAATTGAACTCGAGGTCTTGTCTTGGGGCGTGCGCGACAGGGAGTGACGAAGTGGCCGTGTGGGATCAACAGACAACCAAATCAGGGAAAGAGATTGGGAGTCAAACACACGTCATAGTCGGCAATTGGAGTGTGGAGGCCCGTAATTGATAGTTTGCGAAAAGACCCAGGGAGCGAAAGAGAGAAGAAGAATTGAAGAAGAAGTAGTAGTAATAGTAGTAGTAATGGGTATGAGCGTGATTGTGTGAACGAGAAAAGAGAAGGAGGAGATGGAAGTGTGACAAAGAAAAAAACGGACCAACGCGAAACAAGACGAAACAGGCTCCAGGCAGGCCAGCAGCGCAAAGTTTCTGGGATTAAATTAGATTATTGATTGCCCGTCCATAGAACCTGCCCCGTCGGGCCTAGCCAGCGACTAGAGGGCTAGTGGTGATGACAAGCAGATCTGAAACGGTCTGCGCGCGCAAGCGAACCCCCTGAGTGGAGGGGAGGGGGATTGGCTGAGCTGGGGATGGGCTGGAGAGAAAGAAGGAGGGTTGAGAGATGAGATCGTATGGAGTAAGATAGATTCGCACAAAATCATACCAGATAGTATGTGATGTGAATGCGCGACCTGCATCTCTCCCGCCACCCAAGTTGATCACCCAACCCAACATATCCACTCCTCCCTCGGGGGAGAGAATCCATTATGAAATTGGAGAGTCATGTTGATGCCCCTGAACTGAGCCAAACCTTACGGTCCCCACTTTCCGGGCAACGGTTGTCGGTTGATGAGCGAACTAGGGGCCTCAAGAGGGGGTGGAATTCGGTTAGTCGTGTTTGATTTTCTCCGGATGATGAACACATCAAGTGCAAACATTGGAGAAGGGGGGAAAGGATGGAGGAATGGAGAAATGCTTACCTGCAGAGTGACAGGATGTCCGTGTCAGATTAGATGTCGGTAGTATAAGTTGAGTTGGTTGCATTTGGTTTTTGTTCTTCACACATCGGGTCGGCATCTGGTTGGATGGCCTGACCCGAGAACAGGCACAAGAGTGGCACATTCCAGCCATTTTTCTCAGCTGAAAGTTCGACTAGACTTACTTAGTACAAAGTAGCTTGACTGACTGGCTGGAGTGGATTGATTGTTGAACTACGCCTTTTTTGTTTATTGTCCACGAGGAACATAAGCGCTGACTAAGAGGTCACCCCCCTCTCCCCCCTCCCTTGTTCTGTTGGTTGAATAATAAATCAGATGATAATCAATCATTTTAATCAATTTGGCTATCATGGGAATATTCCGCTGGCAAGTCACTAATCAATACCAATCAATCACACTCAATATTAACATGAATCTCCCCTCAGCTCCTTACGCCACACAATTCCCCCATTCCCATCCAACAATGGGATTGGGATTAGTCTCGACCCGGAGCGCACTTTTTCCCCTGTCCTTGTTCCACCGACCCCATCAGCTCCGCTGCCTCGTCGCAATGCTGCGCCATTTCCAAGTCCTTCTCACTTAAGCCCCGAGGGTGGTGGGTAGTCCAGTGGATATCGACCGATCCGATTCTCTATGATGATTCCAAATCAGCCTCAATCATAACCATTTCACTTCACGCCCCCTTTTTTTTTCCTCCCTGTGATGAGTCACACTTACCACAGTCATGGTAGGATGGTGCTTCTTGGTCGAACTCTGCGATGCGACCACGTTGACAAAGCTCTGCAAATAAATCCCAAACCGGTCAGATCACCTTGCGCCCATATCATATCTAACACATCGAAGGGAGGGGCGGAAAACAGGGGGGGAGGGGAGGGGGCCAACATACCACCGCCTTGAAGTACGACTTGAAATAGAAGGTCTTCTTCACGCCCTGTCCATCCTCATCCAGCACCCATCCCTGTTCCTGCAGCGTCTGCAATCCCTGGCGCGCCTGTTCGGGGTTGGTCCCCTCTGCAAACTGTGGGTCCGCCATCGTCGAGGCGTGGCGGCGCAAAGCTATCCGATATGAAGGGGTGGTGTTGGGGAGGTTGGAGGTGTAGGTGTTGAAAGTGGTCGCCGCAGCACGAGGTCCGAGGCGGTGGGAGGAGGGAGGGATAACGCGAGAAGAGGAGGGTCGTAGATGGTAATTGCGGCGAAAGCAGTAACGCTGGAGGCGAGTGACCACCGCTCGGGGCTGCTGAATTGCCCTAGATACGTGGTCCATGCTGAGCGGTGGTAGAGAAGGGTAGATCAGACTATCTGCATAGCTGGCGCCGTCGAGTTATCGCAGCAGCAGCTCTCACTAAGCATCGCTCCGCGGCCACCGACCGTCTGGGGCACGTGACTGGGGGTGGCTGCGGACGGGTCGATCTCCCGCGGCAAGCGAATCGCCTGCATCCGCCGTGAAGTGCTCTGTCGCCACAATGCGCTGGTCGATGAACAGTTTCATACTGACCACATGAACCCCCTGCTTGGTACATCGATTATCTCAAGTCAGCCTCCTGCTTCCTGCACTTTTCTCTATAATTAGATGTTGAGCACAATGTCAGCGTTTGGTTCGCTAAACCCTGGAGCATATACCATGATGAGACCAGATACAGTGCGTTCTTGTCAAGACCAACAAGCATCGCGAGAATCCTCTGATCAAGAATATCTATCCCCCTTAGGAAAATCAGTCCTATACGCACTTATAGATGAAGGGAGCCATAGAAAGCATTGAAATCCCTTGAGTCATTCAATAGGAAGAAGCCAACCAATCCCCTTACATCCTCGGCAATACCACCCGAAGGACCCATCCACCGTTCGACGGGACACCACATTCGATTCATTCTAGAAAAGCCGACGAATGTTTCAAAACTCCAGATGGCAGAAACATGTGATTCCCCAAGGGCCTGTAGATCTCCCGCAGGCGTACCTGCATCAATCAATGCATGAGAATCAGTGAGGAGTCTGATCTTTCAGACGGCGAGAAGCAAAGCACAGAAGTACCAGTGCCACTACACTCGGGTCCGGGAAGATGATAGCATCGAGCTAGACCATGTCGACAATTAGCCAAGCGCTGTAAGAGGTATCCATCCCAGGGATCGGGGGAGGGTTTTCCGAGACTGCCGAATCCGATGCTCCCGTCCGGATCCAGATGCAAGGTCGGTGTCTCCACAATCCAACCATCGGCATGGTTCGGTCATTGCAGATGACCGCCATCTGAATCTGTTCGGTGCTGCTTGACTCGGTCCTCCATGGTTCTGCTCCCGCTTGGTTGCACCGTCTGGTTGCATCCCACCGATCCTTATCTCTGTCGCGATCGTGCGGGACCGGTATAGGTTAATGGGATTTTATACTTTAGATATTAAATGTTTTCCAATGGTATCTTTTTATTTCTTGATTGTCCCAGGGAAAAAAAAACCCCCGATCTAGGATTTCTTCGAGGGTGAGACCGCGAACGGCCGAGCCTGCAAAAGCTCATAGCTACATGTTTGAGCCAGCCAGAAATGGCAACAGCTAACCAAGACAGCCCAAGCAGTAGAAAGCTAACCTAGTACTAGTACATGTTCCAAAAAGCAAAGCAAAGCTAATACGTCTCTCATTACTTCCCGAGCCAGCGCCTTGCCTAGAACTGAAAATGAATGTTGCGCATATACTATTGGGTATTGTAGGCCCAACCGTTTTCGGACAGAATATATAAGGGACAGGTCCGTGGATGGTAAAGAGTAAAGCAAACAACGTTTATGACCTGCAAAGGCATCGGCCATGATTGGTATCAACGCTCATTAATCGTCTCAGTGACATCGTAAAAATGTATCCGAGCGGCTCATGTCGCATGCGTAACAAATTCGGCATAAGAGCTCAGCGAGAAAGACTGTTTCTCCGTGAGTTGACACGGGAGTTGACGTTCGACGCTGGGCGGGATGCTATGTAGCTGCCAGGACGACTCCCAAGCGTATGACGAATGCGTAGGTTCTGTTGCGAGCGTGCAAAGGAATTTGCCCTTGAACCGGAAGGAATCTTGGACAGCCGTCGCCCGTGAGTCTGGAGCTCGACTCTCGCATCGGACAGCTGCTGGGCAAATGGCGACCGCTTGCGGAGTGTTGGTCCGTACCAGTAGATGACATATACTGCAATGACCAGGAGGAAAGAGATACAGACTGGAGGAAAGGCCGTTAGTGTCCCATATCCCCAGACGCAGGGCACATCAATGATAAAACTCACATAGAATGGTAGACGCGTATTCCAGGTGGTATTTCCCGCCAATATCTAAAGTCATTTGTTAGAATCCCATATAAACTGCGACGTTATTATTGTTACTTACTTTCAAAGAATGGTGTGGCAGGGATGGTGAGCACACCAGCCAAGAAGTCTCGAGACCATCCGTTGCCGCCCGTTGCGGAAGCCGAGTACGGTCCGTATGCGCAGATCATGTAATCGATAGTGGCCATGTAGATGCTGTAGTTGGCAATACCGACGATAGCAGAGAACACCATGCTTCCAATCCAATGGACAGGGGGTCCCAAACTGGTCCACGCAAAACCAATCAAGCCAATAGGCAAGCAGGGTGCAGTATAGAGAAGGAACCAAAGTCGAGATTCGTACTGAGCCCGCTCATCGTCAGGCTTCCTGCGCCGTTCCTCAATGTTTCTTTTAATGACTGGGATGAAAGCGCCCCATGCGATAAAGTAGCCCACGAGAATGGGAAGGAACGACAGGCCTAGCTCCACGGTGCCGAAACCCCACTGGTCGTACACAAGGCTGAACGACTGAATGAACATGAAGATCAGGGCATCACTGAAACCACTCAGCAGAGATAGAGTGAGGACAATCGGCTCCGTCAAGAACATCTTAAAGGGGCGGATCCAGGTGATGAGGACTTCGTGCATCGAGAAGCGGTCCTTGAAAGGAACCAGCTCGTTCGGTCCATAAATATTGGGGTCTTCGCCGCTTTCCCTTCGCTTCTTTGCGATACGGTCCATCATAATCGTTGTCCGGGTCTCAGGTACCAAAAGCAAGTGCGCCACCTGCACGAAACCCCCAAATATGAGCTGAATCCAGATGTTCCAGCGCCACGGCAGATATGCTTCCACAAAACCTCCAACAACTGGTCCAATCACTGAGCCACCCACTGAAGAAAATACCACGCAGGCGACAGCATACTGCTGGTCATCTGCTTCCCAAAGGTCTGCGATCATACCCAGAGTAACTGAGCCACCAGCTGAGCTAAGACCTCCCAGAGCACGTCCTACCATGATAGATGCAAAATTGGGGGCGAGAGCAACGGGGAGTTGCCAAATGTTCACAAGGAACAGACTGAGCTGTAAGATCGGCTTCCGACCCAGTTCCTCACTCCATGGTGCCCAAAGCTCGCAACCAAAGGCGTAGAGAACCAAGAAAATCATAGCACCACACCGAGCAGCTTGCATGCTGACTCCGAATTCTTCGGATATACCGGTGAGGGCGTTGGAGTAGAGACTGGTATTGAAGTTCATTGATGTTTGGACGAGAAAGATCACGGAAATGATCATCCATTTCTTCCAGCTGGGAAAGGCATAGCCGAGTTGGTCGTAGCAGTCCTCCTCAGTCAGCTCGACCTTTTCGGACGCGGCATTCTCCAATTGGTGTAGAGTGGTTCCAGCGTTGGGGTCTGATGGAAGCGGTTGAGACTTTTGCTGCTGTTCCAGAGCCTTTTCGGTTGCTGGATCGAGAATGGTGTCGGTTTGAGTAGAAGACGAGGCTTCTGACTCATGAATCTTTTCATGATTACTCATGTCTCTGTCTGGGCGAGAAGCCATGATGCGCACTGTAACGTACTGAATTAGTCGCTGCATGGTGTTTGATGGGAAGGAATGTAAACTGTGAGAATAATGGGAAAAGGAAGCAAAGCATGAAGCGCAGAGATGCTTGTAGGTTCACGCCATCATGCGATAGTCACATTGGTGTATGAATAGCATGTACTTACAGCCGACCCAGACTGAATAAAGATAGAGAAGACCAGGCAATCAAGGCGAGCAGGTGAGAATGGGAATAGCAAATCACTGGAGGGGAGGAAGGAGCACTGAGAAGTTCCTGTTAAGGGAAGACGGGAAAATAAGTATAGGGAGGAAGGAGAAAGAAGAAAAAGAGCAGGAGTGGGTGGAGAGGGAGGAAGAAGTAGAAGTAATCACAAGCAGTAGATGACGGTTGTTGGGTTAGGCCAGAAAGGGAAAGAGCGCAGGAGGACTGGAGAAAGAGATCAGACCTACATGGGACTAGTATCAAAACTACTTTTTCAGGAAAGTACCCCAGAAAAGGCAACCGCGATGGGGTTCTATCACGGTACTTATATCCCAGTAACCAGTCGCATCAGGGGAAGAAGTGGGTGATGTTACCGCAACACCCATGGATCGCACGGGCAGCACTGCAGGAATGACTCTGCTTTATATCAATCCACCACTTTTCCCATTCCTCTCCAATAGGAGCCGGGGATTGTACATTTAGAGTTCAGTCGGTCCAGGTGTCTCCGATGACTCGGTGCATGGGTAATTAGTTCACTTTGGCCTTTCATGTCCAATTTACACTTTTTTCTTTCTTGCTGCAACTTCAGCCTTCTGCCCCCTTTTTACTTTGCCACTCACCATTATTAAGGCCTGGTCTCTGTGGCTTGTAATAATGATGATAGCACTCGCATGGATTCTTGACAGGACTGGCATAACTCAAATTAGGGGAGATTGGATGCATATTTCCCGGATGGGGTGTTGGGTATCGGTCGTCTCTGGCCAAGCAGCCGGCCGCACACGGTTAGGGCCGAATGATGATGCATTTGGCCTGCCGAATCAGGACCGGCTTGGTAGGGTACTACATACCACCTAAACCAGACTCCGAAGAGCCCACTTGCCACACTGACACGGCCAGTCATTTTCCAGATAGATCTGGGGCGATGCTGATGGACGGATCCATCGTGCTTAACTCCGTCCTTAACATCATTCCTTAATCACTCATCGCCTGACCTCTGGGGGAGAAACCGGTTGAGTTTTCAGAGCCAGGAGTGGTCGGCGCGACCACCACGGCTTCCCCACTTCGGTGGTTGTTGATATTCATTACTCCCACTGGAGCCGTTCTGGGCCGATAGGACTATGGTCTCTAGAATGCCCGTTTCGGGGAAGCCTGCCACGACACGGGTGCGGGAGAACTTTTTCCTACGGTGAGAGATTGCGAGTTATGTTGAGAAAACTGCACTTTAGACTTTGTGCGCCAGACTCTTCATTTCATGGAAAAGGCGCCCTGGACAGGCTGAGAAGGTCCAGCCTGTCAATAATGCGGGCGCAAAAGTGTGCCCACGCAAGGGGCCGGGGTCTCCAGGTGGCCATGGGCGCTGTACATGACTGCGTGGCCTCCCGAGCAGATGGGTCATGAAAGCTGACAACCATGAGAAACGAAAAAATTTCAACAAAAGATATACGCTAAATACTGCTAGTGTTCTTGTCCTGGTTTTGGAG